CCAGAATGGGATGTGCAGGAGGCAGCTGATCGATGTTTCTCTCTCTTCGATGTTTCTAACTTTCTATCTCTCTCTCCCTTCCTCTCTGTAAAAATCAATAAAATATATTTAAAAAAAATAATAATTTTATGGTTAGGGGTCACCACAACATGAGCAACTGTATTAAAGGGTCGCGGCATTAGGAAGGTTGAGAACCACTGGCTAGAGGATGGCTCTTCAGAACACTTGAAGCTATGTATATACTCCTTTCCTCTCCCAGTCCAGTACCCAGGGAAAAAGAAGGGGAGCAAATTCCTCTGATGGAGTATTTTGAGTAACTCAAGAGAAAGAAGTTTATCCATTGTTTTGTACTCTTAGCCTGAGACAACAGCAGGATGAGTTTGGACAAATCACTTTCCCTCTCTGGGCCTCAGTTCCTCACTTATGAAATGGGGGAGTTGATAGTTTCAGCTACAATGCTCTAAAATTGTTTGATATTACTCTAAGTGATAAAATGGGTCAAATAAGATTGCAAAGGGAGAGAGAGAGGTGGTGGATAGAGGAAGTGGTCAGCAGAAGCACTGGCCCTAAGTCTAGTTCTGCTTCTGATTATCTTGCCTCTGCCTCCATTGGAACTAAATCTGCACAATAGAAAGCAAAAGCTGCTCATGCCCTACCACTCTCCTAGGGACTGTGGTGACAACTGAGCTATGTGGCTAGGCAGGGCTACTTAGTGCCTCTCATCGAGATAAAGTCTAGGCCCAGTGATAGCTTACCCTGATTTTCACTAACCTTTGGAATCTTGGAGCTGCTGATACTTACAGGAAAGACATGCAGGGGTGTCATGTAGAAGAGGCTGGAAAAGCCACACATACTCCCATGTAAAACTATACCCAGATAAGTCACTTGCTGATATTTGCACAGGAATTCAAATTTTCATAATTTCCTTATCTTAATTATAGGCTTTTGGTTTGACTGTGGTCAAGTTTTTTATCATCTCTGGGACTTGGCTTTTCCTTCCATCACTTAGAGTAAAGTGGAATATGAAAAGGGCATAACATAGGAGTTCAGCTCTGCTACTACTATCTTAAGTTGTTTCCTCAGTTTCTCCATCAGTATGAGAGATTGGACTGGATGAATCATAAGGGCACCCCTAGCTCTGATAAAGCAGATTAACCAGTTCTGGAAAACCGAACACAGAGTTAAATACAATAGGAAACCTTGTCCAGGACATCTGATGGTATTTAGGAAAAGACTTCAGTCTGTCAGAAGACAAAGAAACACCTGCTGTGAGTGTAGTTAGGGCCCTTTGAAAAAATGATTTTAGGGCTTCCTCAGGGGAGTCAGAACTCAACCACTTCCTGATGGTGATAACATGTTTTCTGGGACTGCCATTACCCTTCCACAGGGTTTCATACTTAGGTACCTTCTAGTAAACCCAGCTACAGGAGCAAAAAGCATGAACCACATCATAAAGGCAATATTTCTATAGACAAAGATAGACAACTTGAGCAGTAGTCTATTCCAACCAGACCAGAGCCCAGTTCACACAGAAAGTGGCCTCTTGAATATCCATGAGTCTACTTGCCACAATATGAGGCTATTTATGTCACTGTCAGAAGGATTAAAAACTTTCATGGCTGTAATATTTTTTTGACTTCTCAAAACTGGGTCACACCTAGATTTTTTTTAATCCTCACCTGTGAGGTGGGATAGGAACAATAATTATTCTCACTGCATAAATGAAGAAAGTGAGGCTTAGAGAAGGGGAGTGATCTGACCTTTTCTGGTACTTTTTTGTGTCAATCAAGAGGATGGCATTTAGGCCCTGGCTGGCTAGCTCAGTTGGTTAGAGCATCGTCCTGATACACCAAGGTTGAAGGTTCGATCCCCAGTCAGGGCACATACAAGAATCAACCAATGAATAAATAAGTGGAATAACAAATCTCTCTTTCTCTTTTCTTCTCTCTCTAAAAGTCAATCAATAAATAAAAAAAGGAGGATGACATTTAACAGCTAGGGCTTGGTGCCAAGTATCTCTGGAAATATAAGAGGTGATGGGCCTGGGCCTAAGCTAGAGGAGAGAGACACTGGGTATAGAGTCTAGAGGAGAGAGACACAGATGCCCAAGACCCTCCAAGAGAGTGTAGGGTAGCTATGAGATCACCCCTCATTGGGGGCAACATCTAACTCCTGGCCTCACTTTCCCTCTTTCAGATGAGAGAGCCATTAGTAATAAATGTTTCCTTGAAAATGGTCTTCAAGGTTCCATTTATATTGTTCTCAATATTGATGAAAGAGTAAAAAGAAGGATGATTGCATTCATTTGAAAGCAAGGGAAACTGAGGGTCAGATAATTTTATTGACTTTCCCATGTTGTACAACAAGCTGGTGTCAGAGCTGAGGCCCAGGGTGCAGCAATGACACAACCTACCATTTTATCCTAAAAAGTGGGGATAACCTATCATCTGTGGCAAAGTGTTATTCCCCACAGTGGACAGCATGGCCACACTCACCTGCAAGTAGATCTTCTTAAGTCCAGGAATGGAGTCACTGACACGGCCTGATACAAGGCGCCCGAGGCCTGAGGTAGCCCCAATACACACCAAGAGCACCCAGGTCTGCTTGATTTCCAAGAACTCCTCTTCCACATACTTCATCTGAAAAGCATATCACAAACCCCCCACCAAGGACAGGAGAAAAAAGAGGAGCTGACTGGTTAGCTATTGGCATATCCAGAACCCTCAACTGCTTACTTGTCTGGACCATGACAAGAACTTCCTTCCTTGTAGCCCCAGCTCTAGGGCAAATTCCCTGGCTGCTTCTAAGAGTTTAAAAGGCTATATATCTCCTGGTTCTCTAGATCCTGGGCTTTTGAACAACAGCTGAGGTGAGTGGGTATCTCCAAGTCCTGGCAGGAAAGAATTCAGCCTTAACAACTGAGAAAACCAATGATTCTTCTACAACCTCCCTATTCCCTGACCCGGAACTGACAGACCAGGGAAACAGTAGGTCACCAGGGGAGAAGGATCCACCAACTTTAGAGTAACACTTCTAAAAGTGTGTTTTAAGAAACATGAGGTCTATGAAAGATAACTGGACTACAAGTGACAGTTCTTTGGCCATATAAGTTGGGTAGATGCTGGTTAAATAAAGCTGAAGGATTTATTTACTGCAGGTATTTTCAGTACCCTTAAAAGATTGCTATACAATTCGAAGCTGAAGAGATCTAATATATGTTATTTCTTAACAAAATTATTTGACCACAAAGACCAGCATTCCATAGAACACACTTTTAGAAAATCCTCTCCTTGAGTCATCTGGGCCAGTCCCCTGAATCCTAGTAATACTTATCTTCTCCTGAAAATCTATCTTGACTTACCAGTGGGAGAAACCACAGGCATGGACCTTCCCCTAAGGAATTCCCCCTATTTCCCATTGAGATCTTCCCTCAACCTGTGCTCTTTTCCACTCTGAGCCTCTCCAAGTACTGTTTGTCTTTTTTCCCAAAGGTCTCCATTCTGTCCTTTCAATATCCTTCACCCCTACCTTCTGGCACTTCAGACAGGTGAAGGGCAGATTCTTGGGACAAAATAGGGTGGGTGCCACCCTGGTATTCCTCACCAGGTGTACGTAGGGAACGAAGTAACCAAGGGCAGCAGCAGCAATCCCAAAGGCCCAGATGCGGTAGGTACGTTGACGGAACACTCGCATGTTGAAGTACTTCCTGAGTTGAGCCAGAAAGCATTGGCACAGGGTGTGGACACCTCTCTTGCTTGGGGTGTCTTGAGAGCTGGGCAGGAGGGGCCGGTAGGTGAGGGAAAGCAGCGTAAGAATAAACATGAAGGTACTCAGCACCTGGAAGGTTTGGGCAAGCTTTATCTTAGCCCCCAGCATTTTGATGAGAAGGGGGAAGGATATGGAGAAGATGCTACTCCCAGCAGACACTACACCATTGGCCAGACCCAGACGACGTTGGAAGTAGTGGCCCAGGATGACGAGAGATGGCTGAAAGGCGAAGGAACAGCCACAACCAAAGAGAATCCCATAGGTGAAGTAACGCAGGCTTAGTGAGCTGTGGGAGAGACACCAAGAGCTATCCTCAGCAGCCTGACCAGCAAATCCACCTGCCCCTTTCCCTTCACCCTCCTGAGACCTGCATGCCCCCCACCATTAACCCACAGCCCCACTTAACACTGACCCTCAGAACAGACAAAGGACAGGACCTTCTGGTCCTCATTTTGCAGATGGGGAGACAGAGGTTCAGAGAACTAAAGTAATTGACCCAAAGTAGCATAATGGGGTCAGAAAAGCTTGGACTTGACTCCAGGTCTGTGTGATTATATTTTGATTCATAGCACCCAATCAAAGATGATTGTTCAAAACAAAGTCAGAACCAGCCTATGCAAAGGCTGGATGATGGGGCTATAAGGAATAAGTCAGTGACTTAAAACAGTTTTACCTACTGCTCACCTAGACAGCGTGGTAGGCTGGTAGCCAAAGCTTTATCCAAAGTAACAACAAAGGTCTGTAAGGGCCCAAGATCCTGGAAGGTTAAGACCCTCCATAGGACTATTTAGTGTCTTTCTCCATGCTCAGAGCCCTTAATATTTCAGAGAATAGCTGGTGGCCTCCTGAGAGACAGCCCATCCCCAACCCTGCTCAAAGTCTGAATATCCCAAGACCCTTTACTCCAGGCCCTAGGTGATCTGCATGAGCTGTGGTCGGCAAACTGTGGCTCGCGAGCCACATGTGGCTCTTTGGCCCCTTGAGTGTGGCTCTTTCTAAGCCTTAGGAGTACCCTAATTAAGTTAATAACAATGTACCTACCTATATAGTTTAAGTTTAAAAAATTTGGCTCTCAAAAGAAATTTCAATCGTTGTACTGTTGATATTTGACTCTGTTGACTAATGAGTTTGCCAACCACTGTGCATGGGGATCCTGAGGTAAAAAGTCCCTTTAATTTTAAGAGCCTGGCTTCTGTTTCTAGACATGGTATGGGTTAGCTTCCCAGAGTAGCCTGGCTGCTTGATGGGAAATGGAGTCTGAAAAAAGTTATGGGTCTCACAAAGTAAGACACGTTCTGGCTTAAAATTCTTAACCCCTGTGATGGCCATAAATCTCTGTCAGCAGGGAAAAGGCCATGTGAAGTTTAGTTTGGCCAGCTATCTGCCCCCCCCCACCCCAAAATATTGGCACAACCTAGTGAGGAATCTTGTCAGTTTTTTTAGCTTCCACATATTGTATAATAGTTTTTACCTGACAATTTAATTACCTAATATTCTCCATAGTCAGGTAGTTCCTCCCCATAGATATCAGTCCTTATACTAATGGACTGTGCCTATGCTGTAGAGATGATGTGGTGTTAGCGTGCATGATTCAAACCACAGCTATTATTACCAATACTTTCCATCTATTTGCATTCACCAGATATGACAAGGGCTTTGATTTCAAAAGGATTGCTTCCACTTGGAATACATAGCTAAGCCAACTGCTCCTCTTTTGTCATTCTTTGAGGCCTGCTTCCATGAGATTCTAGTGACTCATTGGGATGGTCTGGGCCAGGGGTCTTGTCTAAGGGACAGGAGCTAGACCTTCAGAGTGAAGGACAATGGGGGCAAAGCATGAGGTTCAGTCCAGGGTGCTAGGTGATAGATCTATTTTTAGCTGTGCTCAAGGCAGGAGGCCCCTAAATAAGCTTGCCAAGTTCTCCCCATACCTGCCTGCATTCCTCTCTACCTCACACCATCCAAAGGAACTCAGAGCCCTAATTCAGACAACAGGAAGGATGACTTGGAGCCCTAGCCACAAACAGAACAATTTTCCACTGGATGTGAAGCCATCCAGAATATTTCTTGGCTCTGAAGATGTTCTTACAGAAAAGGCAAAAGGGTTGGGGGAGTGGCTTAAGGGCTGGAAAACAGAACGCTTACTCCAATGTGCCTAAAGAAGAGTGCCAGAAGAAAACACATCTGAGCTCCTTCACCATCTGTAACAGCTTATGTGGATTGGAAGGTAAATGAGATCCGTATGTTGCTAATTTGTTTACACTTTGCTATGCTCAGCCTTAAAAAACAGGCCTCTTTTGTGTAGTGCTGAGACTGGAGCTGCTTATGAGGCCTAAGCTCTTCCCCACAAGGAGCCAGACACCAACTTGCTGAGGGCAAAAGAGGCCAACAATTGGAGGGGTTCCAAAAAGGTTTGGAACTGCCTCCTTGGGAGGGCTGAGCAGGTTTCAGGTAGGACATGATTTTCCCCTCTGTCTGAACTAGATGGGATGGAGCCAAGAAACCATTGCAGGACATATCCAAGCTCTGCTGCAGGGTAGGCTTGGCAGCCAGAAATGCTTAAGTCATTAAGCTGGATCATCCTCAAAGGGTCCAATTGTGGCAGAACAGGATTATAATTCTTTGATGTGAGTGGAACCCTAGGACTAGAGAACATAACCATGATCCTACTCTGGGGAGCCAAGCTCAGAAAGCAAATCTCTAAGTTAACTGTATCTTCAGGACAGCATCTTCCTACACAAGCTCAGCAGATTGCAAGTAGGAGGTACCATAACTTCCAAAGTGGCTTTGGCAGAAAGTTGATGACATTCTTTAGGAATCCCATATTTCTCAGTCTGTAGTGGAGGATTTTCACTTCTCCCCTCAACTACAGATATGCTTCTGCAAGGCTGGTAGAAAGGAAATAGAAAATGAACCTGTAACTTGCTCCTTGAATGACACTACTGAGTTTTGTCAATGGGACCAGAATTTGACTCTAACTTTGGTCTAGCTGGGTACTAGGTTTGTACTCAGTTGGGGATGCTGCTAAATATTCATTTTAATACCCAAGACATGAATCTTATCTGTCCCAAACTGTCTATGCATTTTCAGCCAAAATATCTTGAAAGGGGCCAGAAATGCTAAACAGCCTTGGATTCCACACTCTCAGGAATCCTATAATGATTGGTGTCCACATGAGCTTTCTCTAAAAGCTCATTCCCAAAAAGGCTGATGAGGTCATGAGATGTGTGGTACATTGAAGAAGAATAAAATGGAAGAGTTGGAAGAGATGTGAAAACACCATCTGGTCTAATCCTTTCATGTTACCAATATAGAAATTGAGGCCCAGAGAGAGGAATGGTACTCCTCAAGTGTTCCATAGCCATTCAGTGGCCAAAACTGGACATGGGCCCAGCTGTATGAACTCCCAAACTTAGACTACTCCCACCACTTTTGAACTCTTTGGTCCTCTTTGGGCACAGGGAATCCTACCTAGATGAATCCTATTGGAAAATAAGGACTCAGCATAGAGAGGACCATAGGAGAGTCTGCAATGAGAAAAGTGTCCCTAATTGAAGTCCAGAGAGAAGCCAACCCTTAGGCTTGGGCAATTGACCAGCAACTCCTAACCTTACCTGGTGAAAGAGCTGGTATGGAGGCCAATGAAAGCGACGGCAGCCCCTGCAGTTGCTGTGATTCGGCAGCCCAAACGATCAGTAAATATACTCACAATGGGAGAACAGAAGAAGATCATGCCCATTGAGAGGGCTCCTACCCATGCTGCAGAAAAAAACAAGTACAAAAATACCTTAGCTTAATGTGGTACCTGGTAGTATGACTGGTATCTCAAGTCTTCTTCTCTGACCTTACACAGGGAGCATTGCATTGGCCTACACTGCCAGCTAGCTACTCCCTATTGGCCAGAGAGATTAGACGATTTTCAAAGTACCTATAGCAGGGCAATGTGAGAAATAAGAGTCTAGTTTATAAATACACCCAGAACTTCAGAGCTGGGGCGGGGGCTTAAAGATCAAGTCTATGATGAAGTATAACTAGCCACCACACAGGTGTATATTTCTCAGCCTCTTTAGCTGTTTAGCATGATAATGTGACTGAATTCTGACCAATAGAATGTGGGTTCAAGTGATACACACCACTTCCAGGCCTGAACCATATAAAATCCCATCAGGTTTTTACTTTCTGGTAGGCTACAACTGCAGAGTGGGTCCTTGAATAACTACATTGAGCAAACTTCTTCCTCCCTCTCCGATATGGAATCCCTGCACTGAATGTTTCATAAGAAATAGAGAAATTTCTTGTTCTTTAAACCGCTGAATTTTTTTTATTATTGTAACCACTTTTTAAATTTTTTATAGAATTTATTGGGGTGACAGTGGTTAATAAAATGATATAGGTTTCAAGTGTACAATTCCATAATACATCATCTGTGTATTGTATTGTATGTTCACTACCCCAAATCAAATCTCCTTCCATCACCATTTATCTCCCTTTACTGTCTTCTACCTCCTGCCACCGCTCTATCCCTCTGGTAATCACCATACTGTTGTCTGTGTCTATGAGTTTGTTTTTCTTTGCTTAATCCCTTCACCTTTTTCACCTAACCCCATAACCCGCTCTCCTTTGACAGCTGTCAGTCTATTCTCTATATCTTTGAATCTGTTTCTATTTTGTTTATTAGTTTATTTTGTTCATTAGACTCTGCATATGAGTGAAATCATATGGCACTCATCTTTCTCTGATTGGCTTATTTTGTTTAGGATAATACTCTCCAGGTCTAACCATGCTGTCTCAAAGGATAAGCTTTCCTTCTTTTTTATGACTAAGCAGTGTTCCATTGTGTAACTTTACCACAGCTTTTTTTATCCACTCAGTTTTTTAATTACCATTTGTTACAGCAGTTAAATGAACCAAAACTAAAATATCCCTCCACTACCATTTTACTGATAAAGAAAAAGGTCCAGTAATATGAATGGACTTACTAAAGTTCACACAGCAAGTTAGTGGCAGAGCTGATACCCAAACCCAACTCTTTTTATTTCTAGTCCAAAGTTAATTGTGTTATTATATATCTTTTATTGGGTTTATCTTTCACTGGATGTGTGCAAGCAGAGGCTAGATATAAAACAAGGGATTCAAGCATTGGGGTAATATTTGGACTGTCCAACATTTTAGGCTCTTACATGGATGCTAAGCCAGATCTATAACCTTCGGCACTCAGCTACTTCACTTCAGCTCCAAGAAGTATGGGCATTAATTAAGCCGTCAAGAGGTAAAGCTCATCTTGCTCACTGCAACAAAGTCCGGTGAAGATGTTAAGACTCAGGAGCACGGAAGGCCACAAACATAAGACAGGTTCTGGAGCCACCCAAAGATTTGTAAGGAGACTGTGCAAGAGAGTCATGTAACCATCATGCTGAAATCCTTCATTGGAGCCCATTTTGGGCAACTTCCTGGCTCTGAACTTGAATATTCTAGAATTTATTCTGTTTATAAAGGCTCTTAAGTATCTGTAACAATGCTCACCAGGGAGAAATTTGTCCTTTTGCTTATATTTTTACAGCCCATTTCACCTTGCTCAACCCTCAGAAAGAAAGCCCGAGGGTTTTTGTTTGTTTGAAGGCTGTTATTAAATTTCATCTGAACCTCTCTTTTCTAGGCTAAATAATCTTAGTTCCCTTAACTTTTCTTCTTAGCCTTAATTTCTAACTCTGTAATTACTTTCCTAACTCTCCTCTGAACACATTTCAAGTTTTAAACGTGTATACACGTTTCTGCCGGGGAAGGGGTTAACTGCTTTTTATCTTTTTAAAAAATATGTTGCCCTAGCCGGTTTTGCTTAGTGGGTAGAGCACCGGCCTGTGGACTCAAGAGTCCCAGGTTCGATTCTGGGCAAGGGCACATGCCCGGGTTGTGGGCTCGATCCCCAGTGGGGTCGAACCAGTCAGTCATTCTCTCTCATCATTGATGTTGATGATTCTCTCTCCCCTCTCCCTTCCTCTCTGAAATCCATAAAAATATATATATTTTAAAAAGCATCATTGAGTATCACCTGAGCAGTGCACCAGGCCAGCTTCTGGCTCTCTTCAATTGTGGAGGCTCAAGTGCTCCAGAGAAGTGCAATCTGAGTGAGATCAGGGCTAGCCTACTGCCTGTGTCTCTTACCTCAGTGCCTAAAAGCTTGTTCAGATCCCCACTGGGAAAATTTGCTTTGCTGGGGTGCCATCTTGAGCCATAGCTGCCTGGTTCCCAAAGTACTGTCCTGGGACAGCAGGGAGACCTGAACTCTCATCACAATTTTACTTCTTACCTTGCAATTTCACCTCTCATCAGCCATGGGGCTTTGAGCAAGTCACACAGCACTTCTCAAGTCTTATCATCTGTAAAACGGGGATTAAAATTTCTGATGGGCCTTCCTCAAAGATTTTTAATGATCAACACGTAGTCATATGTATAAGAGAGCTTTGTAAATAGTAACAATCACATCATATACAAAAATTAATGCAAATGGATCACAGTCTTAAATGTAAAACTTAAACTATAAAAACCTTCTAAAAGAAAGTATAGGAGAAAATCTTTCTGATCTTTAGTTAAGCAAAAATTTCATAGATATTTACAAAAGTAATATTTATAAAGGAAAAATTGATACATTGGATTTCAAAATTTGAAACTTCTGCTCTTTGAAAAAATGGTTATAACAACGAAAAGGCAAGCCACAGACTGGGAAAAAATATTTACAACACAAACATCTGATAAAAGACTGGTATTCAGAATCCAACTGTGAGTTGACTCTCACAACTCAATAATAAGAAGAAAAACAATCCAATTTAAAATGGGCAAAATATTTGAATGGACATTACCATGAAAACACAAACACACACAATATGAGTGGCAATTAAGCATATGAAAATACCCTCAATGTCATTAGTAATTCAATAAATGCATATTAAAATAAAAATGGGATATCACCTACAACTTGCTAAAAAGGCTCTTTAAAAAATAGGCAATACCTAGTACTAGTGAGGATGTAGAGGAACTGGAAATCTCATACACTGCTGATGGAAATGCAAAATGTTATACCTACTTTGGAAAACAGTTTGGCAGCTTATAAAGTTAAACATACAATTACCATAGGACCCTGAAATTCCAGTCGGAGGTATTTACCCAAGATAAAAAAAAAACAACCCACAACTTTGTTCACACCAAAACCTGTACTTAGATGTGCATAGCAGCTTTTTTCCCCCCATAACAGCCAAACCTGGTAATAACTCAAAATTAACTTGTGAATGGATAAACAAGTGGATATAATTATTATAAATGTAATATCACTCTATAATAAACAAGAATGAACTATTATAGGCAACAACCTAGACACCTTTCAAAGGCATTATGCTAAGTGAAAGAAGCAGGCACAAATTCTGGAAAAGGCAAAACTGTGGGACAGATAATGGGTGCCAGGGGGATGCTTGGGGGGAGAGGATTCATTACAGAGGTACATAAGGGAACTTTTTATTTATTTATTTATTTAATTTTTTCTGTATTGATTAAGGTATTACATATGTGTCCTTATCCCCCTATTGTCCCTCACCCCTCCCCACTCATGCCATCACCACCACCACCCCCCCCCCCGCGGGCGCTGTGTCCATTTGTTAGGCCTATATGCATGCATATAAGTCCTTTGGTTGATCTCTCCCTCTTACCCCCACCGTTCTCTATCTTCCCTTTGAGGTTTGATGGTCTGGTCGATGCTTGTCTGTCTCTGGATCTGTTTCAGTTTATGTTGTTCATTATATTCCACAAATGAGTGAGATCATGCGATGTTTATCTTTTTCTTACTGGCTTATTTCGCTTAGCATAATGCTGTCCAGTTGCATAAGGGAACTTTTTAGAGTGATGAAATGTTGTATACCTTAAATGTAGTGGTGCTATTCTTTTGTAAAAATTCATGAACTGAGCAT